GGGGGGGGGGGGGGGGGGGGGGGGGGGCTCCGTCATAGGGAGACTACGTTGTCGGACCTAGTCTGATCGGGGGGGGGTCAGAGTTGATGCCAGACGATAAGAAGTGATGGTCCTGGTCTTTCCTCCGGGTGAGAGGGGGCTCAGCAGAATGACAGTCGGGCCTGGTCTAGACTGACCGAGACGCCGGGGGGCGGAGTTTGGAGATGACGCCTTGCGGCAGCCTAGAGATGATGGTACGGCGGTGCCTCTATTCCCGATGACCCATTTTTTCGTGGCCAATGAATTGCCCCAATGCACCTCGAAGATGTCCGCACGAAGAGAGCCAGCCAAACTGACCGATCGAAATGCGTTCCCCTACCCCAAATCGTATGCATATCGCGGAGGTAGGGTGTTTGTCATTCACTCTCACGTGTTGTCGCCCACCCACGGTTGTTGAACTCCCGACGCTGCCCCGACGGCACGAAACTGTGCTGTCGTGAATATCCGTCGCCGACCAATGAAAATTGAAGAGGTGATGCCCATTCACTGCGCCGCTGCCCTGGAGTCGTCGGAGGCTACGAAGGGGGCATTCGCGGGCAAGAACATCAGGGGGGGGACGTGGCTGCCGCAAGAGATCGAGATCTCGCTCCTGGAACGGGAAGACGGTGAGAGGCTGGTCCCCTACACCTTGTTGTTGTTGTTGTCGTCGTCGTTGTTGTCGTTGTTTTGATTGTTGTTGCTGTTGTCGTTGTTATCGGTGTTGCTGACATTGTTGTTGTTGTTGTTGTCGTCGTTGTTGTCGCTGTTGTTGTTGTTGCCTCGACTGCTGCACATCCCACCTACACGCCATCCTACCTATCCCCCCCCCCAAACAAAATACCGCCTGCCCCCACCGCCGGTCGGCGACAGGAGAGCTGTGCGTGGTCGTGGGAGAGTCCGCGGACCCCCCCGCGAGCTGGGTTCAAGCTCTCGAAGCGGAGGACGGCAAGGGTGCCACAACCACCGCCACCACCGCCGCCGCCGCCGCCGCGGCGGGCCCTACAACCCCCGGGGACAAGAAGGACACCTCCACTTCCCCAGGGAAAGCGGCAGCGGGGACGGGGACCCCATCGAAGCAGCAGCAGCCGTCGCCGCCGCCGAAGGGCAAGCCGGAGCAGCAAGAACAAGACCGGGAAGGCTGGTACTTCGCGTCGCCGTTAACCGGGAAGGCGGGAGAGGCGGCGATTGCAGCGGCGGCGGCGGCGGCGGCAGCCGCGGGGGGCGGGGCATCGGCGGTGCCGGCGGCTGCGGCGGGAGCGAGAGCGGAGGAAGGAGACGGCGGGGCACGGGAAGACCGCTGGGTTGTTGACGGGGTGAGGCAGTACCGGTACCGGCTCATGTCCGTGGTGTCCAGAGTCGTGCCGGTGGTGAAGGGCAAGAAGAAAGAAGCCGGGGCGGCGGCGGCGGAGGGCGGCAGTGGTGGTGGTGCCGCAGCAGCTGCAGCAGCAGCGGCTGGGACGGCGGCGGCGGGAGCTGGGGCGGGCTCGTCGCCGGGCGAGGCAGATGCGACAATCGTGAGTTTTTTTTGTCAAGGAACGGGGTGGCGGCAAGAGGCCGTGGGGTGGGGTGTGGCGGGGGCTTGCTGTGTGGTCTTGTGCACTAAGTTTTGTTGTAGTCACCCAACCCCATTTGCATGTGTCGCATCGATCGTCTGTGGCGTCCCTCTATAGCCTCGTGATCGAAGCGGTTGAGTCGGCCACGACCTATATCATTCACCCACAGCTACATACGACCTCAGCAGAACCTCGGCATTGCCAGCACTGCCACATACCCCCCCCCCTCCTCCTTCACCACGCTACCTCGCTCACCCCACAGGAGGAAGGCCACCTGGTGTTGCACGTCAGGGCGCCCGTCCTTGGAGGCAAACCTTCCTCTACCGACAACACCGCCACGCCAACCAAACCTCCTCCTCCTGCCGCCAAGAAGGACGCCAGGAAGGACGGCGGCGGTGGCGGCGGCGGCGGCGGCAAGGCTAAGGGTAGGCGTGAAGGCGGCGCGGCGGTGGCGTCGCCGGGCGCGACCGGCGGCAAGAACGGCGGCAGCGATAGCAGCAGCGGGAGCAGCAGCGGGAGCGGGAGTGGGAGCGGGAGCGGGAGCGGGAGCGGGAGCGGTAAGGGCGGCGCCGCCGCCGCTGCCGCCGCCGCCGTCGATGTGCGGGATATGACGGACACGGAGGGAGGAGGCGCGGCAGACGGGAACGCAAGTCCCGGGGGGGGACGTGACGCAGACAGGGGTACCGTACGGGGGGAGGAGGAGGAGGAAGAGGAGTGGCTCATGTTCAACGACTTTCTGGTGGAGAAGACGGTGCTGGACGACGCCCGAGGCTTCGGCCCGGAGTGGAAGGAGCCCTGCGTGCTCGTGTACCGGCGGGTGCCGTCGGCGGAGGAGGAGGGGGAGAACGCGCGGCGCGCGGCGGCGATGGCGCTGACCAAGAAGCGGCTCGCCATCACGCCCTCCGTCTTCGACATCGCCCCGCTTTCCAAGGTGCTGATTTTTTCGATGCGTGTACATGAAGTGGGGTAGATCGGACTGGGGCTCATTTTCTTGGATGATGATGCTTTTGTTCTCGGGGTGGCTTCTTTGGGTGTGTGACGTTGTTGTGCGTAGCGGAGATTGCGCTCGCCGTCAAGAGGTGCGGGGTGTTAGGTTTTTGTCACGGGGCTGGCTGGTTCAGAGAACGTCGGCCTCGCATGGTGCACGCATTTGGACGCACATATGCTCGACAGCGCAACAATCAACAACCGCTATCTTTTCGTCGAAACCCAACGAGCTGCGCGTAATCAGCTTGAGGTTCGACCGGGGTTGTTTTGTCTTTTTTTTTTTTTCCGTCGCCCACCACCGTCACGCAACCAACTGTCCCGTGTCACCAGTGCCTGATCGTCTGGAAGGCTTCAACCCATTGTCTACTTTTTCTGTCCCGTTGCCCACCACCGTCACAGATATACCGTCCCGTGTCTCACGTTGCTAGTCTCCGGCCCGACGTTCTTTACTTTATCGGACCCCTTCTTTTTTTTTTTTCTTCACGTCGCCACATCACCGTCACGCGGAACCGTCCCCCCGTGCCTCAAGTGGTCCACCTCCCGCCCGACCGTCTGTCCGTTGTTTTGTCTTTTTTTTTCTTTTTTTTCCCCGTCGCCCACCATCGACATAGAACCGTCCCGTGTCTCAAGTGGTTCGTCTCCCGCCCGACCGTCTTCCTGGGAAAGGGGACATCGTCGCCATCGACGCAGAGTTCGTGTCTCTCACGGTGAGCGATGATTGGTCCGGGCCCTCAAATAGCGCCGATGATTGGTCCCTCCATAGTGCCGGTTGAGAATAGTGCCACGGCCCGATATGGTGCCGGTCGAATCGTTGTGGCACGGATGGAATTGAAAATTGTGCCACTGCCCGATATGGTGCCGGTGTGATCGTGTGGGCACGGATGGAATGTTCGAGGTGTTGTTGCTTGTTCCGTGAATTTTGCGCCGGGTGCCCGGTTTTGGTGCCCCGATGAATCTGGCGGGTACATGCCCGCACTGCGCGTGGACCCCCCCGCTGCTGTAGCTCGTATTATTCCGTGGGATGTACTCGAAAAATTGTGGGTTTGAGGGATAGCTTCGAGAACGCTCGAAACAGTCGGGAGACTACCGCGGCGACATGAACATGAACAGCAACAAGGGCAACGGCAGTGTCATGAAAGCAGCATGCTGTGTAACGTGGACACCTTGCACTGCGACAATGACGACGACGACTTGTCACCAAATACCACCACCAACAAAATCAACGACCTGTTGCCAAATACCGCCTCCACCACCACCACCACAACAACAACACAACGCTAACACCAACACCAACACCAACACCAACGCTAGTGACCAATCTGCTACCAAAATCAACGCGAAACGCCTCCACCACCACCACCAACAACAACAACAACAACAACAACAACAACAACAACAACTGCCGCTGTTGTAGCGCCCCCAACAACAACCCCTCCTCCTACTACTACTCCTACTACTCCTACTACTACTACTACTACTCCTACTACTCCTACTACTCCTACTACTCCTACTACTCCTACTACTACTACTACTACTACTACTCCTACTACTCCTACTACTACTACTACTACTACTACTACTACTACTACTCCTACTACTCCTACTACTCCTACTACTACTACTACTACTACTACTACTACTACTACTACAACAACAGGTGGAAGAGTCGCGCCTCCGCGGGGACGGGTCGAAGGTCGTGACGAAGCAGGGTAGGCAGAGCCTCGCGAGGGTCTCCGCTCTGGACGGTAGGCATTCCGGCTCGGAGGTCAACGCCATCGTCATGATGGACGACTACGTGGTGCAGTCGGAGCCCGTGGTGGACCACCTCACACGCTTCAGCGGGATCACGCCAGGTATCTGTTCAATTGTCATGAGTTCTCCCATCTGTTTTTCTCCGTCGCAGGTTGTAAGTGGACCCCTTGAGCTGATCGTTGTTGCTGTACTCCAGGCTCCAGGTTAGGGTCACGCTTCAGGGCGGAAACGCCTGGTATCTGCACGATTGGCATGTTTCCCTTGCCTTTTTTTTCTCCTCTTGGGTTGTAGATTGTATCCCTTTACGTGCCGGCTGTTGCTGTAGTCCAGACTCGCTCCAGGTTAGGATCAGTATACGCCAGGTTATCTATGCGATTGGAATGGTTTACCCCATATATTGTTCTCCCTCTCGGGTATTAGATACAGAGAACCAGACTCGAGCGTTAGGATAACCACACTTACTTCAGCGGCAATACGCCAGGCAACTATCCGATTGACGTGGGATCCCTTACCTATTTTTTTCCCACCTCTTCGGTGGTAGATATTCCCCATGACTGCCGTTGCTGTAGTCCTGACTCCAGGTTTGTAGCCCCGTTTCGGCTCACGGAACTTGCGGGTACATGTAGCTTCCCTTGAGCGAGAGAAAAAGGGTGAGGACATGCGGGTTTTGAGTTCGTGGGAATGTCCATCGACCACCCCCAACGACGACAAGAGAAATCTCGAAAAGTATTTCCAGTAATCTGGGGTCCCCCCGACATGTGTGGTGGTGGGGATTGTGTTGCTTTTCTCGGTGTCGTGAAACTTGTGAGCCGCAAGGTCTCCAGAGGGATGGATGGATGCCTCTCCAGCTGCCAAGAGAAAAAAAAAAAACACACACACACACACACACGCGATCATGTCTTGCCTGTTTTCGTTTCAGCACCGCCGCGGTTAGTGTCGTCTCTTTTGCGCAGAAAACGCTTGATACTCCTCTTTTTTTTCTGCAGCCAATGCCGACGGTTTCGTCAGTTGATTTGATATTGAAACGTTTTTGAGACGGTTGTCTCCAGGTTCGCGTGTGAGCAAGTTCCCTTGGTGTGGATACACACCGGTTCAACCTCTGGTGGAGAGGCTGACGAGTACGGATAGTTGTGAGTCAGGGGGGAGCAACCTTGCGTTGAAGCAAGGTTCAGCGTCCGCCCTACACTGACTCTATCTGTGGCAACACCCCGAAGGTAGATCTCCGACAGGTCATCTGACGTCACAATCTACGACAGTCTGAGGTGGCATTCACACGTTGAAATATCATAACTGAACCATGACTCCGCCCCCCCCCCGTGTTCTTGCTGCCAAATGTTACAAACAGGGGACTTGGATCCCGCCACTTCCAGACACAACCTCCACCACATGCGCACGGTCTACCTGCGGCTACGATGGCTGGCCGATGCGGGATGCATCTTCCTGGGGCACGGCCTGGACAACGACTTCAGGATGTGCAACCTCACGCTGCCACCATCCCAGGTGCTTGTTTTCTTTTCGTTCGCGTGCTGCTGTAGTCCTTCAATGCTATGTTTAGCGTGCCGACAAAAGGAACCGAGTTCGGTGATCGTGTGGTTCACGTGCGGGATCGGCCCCCGTTATTTTTTAGGAAACGGTTACCGGGCGAAGGGAAGAATCTTCTTCGTTTGCGGCGAAGCGAGTCTTGAAGCAGGAATAAAAGGTTGTAGAATGTACTCTCTGTGTGACTGACCCCTGCTGGTGCGAAAAACGCACCTTGTGCCGGACGGTACTGTGTGGAGGGGTGGTGGTGCTCAGAATGGGGCGTAAAGGAGAGAAAAAACGGCAGTACCAGCAGTGAGGAAAGGAGGGATCAAAAGTGAAGAGTGGAAGAACACAAAAGGTCAGACAGCTTTAAAGTGGAAAGTGAAGACAACGCCGACGCCGACGCCGACGACAACAATAGCAACAATATCAACAACAACCACATTAGGTCAATCCACCTCCTGTTAGCGTGGACCGATTTGCCGATTTTTCCGTCAACCTCCACCACCACCACAACAACAGCACTTCGCCTTCTGCCCATTTGCTGCTATTCGTCAACCGCTACCACCGCCACCACAACAACAGCAGCACTTCACATTCGGGTTATGCACGCTAACTCCGGAGACTTACGTACTTGGATGGAACCGTCAGCGCCGCTGCCGCCCTATGATTGTTGAGCTCGCCTTCTGCCGATCTGCTTCTATTCCGTAAACCACCACCACCAACACAACAGCAACAGCAACACTTCGCCTTCTGCCGATCTGCTTCTATTCCGTAAACCACCACCAACACAACAGCAACAGCAACACTTCGCCTTCTGCCGATCTGCTTCTATTCCGTAAACCACCACCACCACAACAGCAACAGCAACACTTCGCCTTCTGCCGATCTGCTTCTATTCCGTAAACCGCCACCACCAACACAACAGCAACAGCAACACTTCGCCTTCTGCCGATCTGCTTCTATTCCGTAAACCACCACCACCAACACAACAGCAACAACAACAACAAAAATAACAACACAAACAACAAGGAACGAAAACAATGCTGTTTCTGGCAATTCAGGTGATCGACACGGTTCACCTGTGGTCTCTAGCCGGGCAGCGCAAGATTTCGCTGCGGTTCTTGGCCCACTACCTCCTCAAGATCAACATCCAGGGAGAGACCCACGACTCCATCGAGGACGCCCGCATCGCTCTCGCTCTGTACAACAAGGTGACTGCTATTCCTTGGGAGTTAGGCGGTGTACTCGCTCTGTACAACAAGATGCATGTGCTTGGAAGCAAACTGCTGTGCGATCAAGACTTTTAAGTCTTTATTTATGTGTTTTTTTGGTTTTCGCTCTGCACGATGAGGTGGCTGCTGTTCGGTGTGCTCGCTCTGTACAACACTGCTGTGGCTAGTCTTGCCGTGTAGTGTGCGCTTACGATGTGCGTGTTTTTGTGGAGTTGTTTTTTTTTTTCGCTCTGCACAGCCAGTTTACTACTTCGTTTGGTGGTTTTGAATTTTACGTGCGCTCACTCTGCTACGGTGAATTATTCTCGACGTAACCGTGTGCTCAAGACGTTGGTGTTTCTTTGAATGCCTTTTTTTCGTCTCGCTATGTACAAAAACGGCACTATGCTTGGAAGTAGGTCGTGTGTGCTCGAGACGTGTTTCTTCGAGCATTGGTTTTTGTTGTCTCCGCTCTGTAGACAAACGCGTGGCCCACCAATATCCCCTCCCACCCACGCGAGGACGTGTGGTCAAAGGTCGAACCGCTAAGGCATGCAAACGTAAGAGTGTGCCCCCCCCCCACGATTGCGTGGCGCACTTTACCACCAATACCCCCCACGCTCGTTGGAATCGCAGTATCGATCACACGTGGCCGCCGGTACCTTCTCGACTACCCTGGACGCCCTCTACAAGTACGGCTGGGAGGTTAGCTGGAAGCTTGACGGGGGAGTCTCCGCATGAAGGCGGGAAAGATAGGTTAGATTGATTGGCGGGGGGCGGGGGGGGGGGGGGAA